TGGGGTATCAGGAAGTCTGAAGGCACCTTCAGGCTGCTGATGCACTCGCCCCAAAGATACAGGCGGCACCACACCCCCAACTATTTCTGGTCATTTTGTATGGACACAGTAAGAGATATTTTAAGTTTGAAGGGTGACTTTTCCTGGGGACATCTCACTATAGATCCCAGACTATGGTCCTCAGGCCAGGTTAGTCTTTTCTAACCCCAGCAAGGTCCTTATTCAGTAACTTCTTTTTGGGTCCATGACCATGCTCTTAACTTATTATACATTTTATGGTGTTTGGCCTGTCCCTTTTGATTCCAGGATAGCTTGTAGCTTGTCCCTTTTCAATACCTGGCTAGCTTGGGGCTTTCCCTGGGTCCATCCTTGTCCTTCACTGGGACCCTCCTTTTGGGGGTGTTAGGAACTAAGGTTAACTGAGGCTTAAGATGAGTAAATATTAATTCTTTTACAAACCACAACACCCAATAGGAGAGAGAGAACAAAAGGGAATGCCCTGCCACAGAGGCAGGGTGGGATGGGGGGATGGGGGGTGGGAGGGATACTGGGATCCGTGGTGGTGGGAAATGGTCACTGGTGGAGGGAGGAGTATTCAAAATAAATAAATAAATAAAATTTTTGAAAATTATGTAATTCTAAAAAGAGATGAGTAAATAAGACAGATGACCAGGAGTAAATATTAATTGGTCAATTAACTCCCACATTACAAAAGCACAGCATTAAACCGTCTCCCCATGTCTATACAAAAAGGACATTGCTCCAAAGTAAACTATTCAAAGGACATAAAGGAAAGATAAAAGCAATATTTCACTTATGTATGCAAAATCCAGAGTCCTCAGAAGAATTTTACTTTACAAGTCACTGGGTCTGATTTGGGGATGTTAGTGATTAACCAATAGGGGAAGCAGAACACAAAGGAGAAATTAAAGATAAACACAGAGAATTGGAAGTGCTGATGGAATTGGGTGTGCCTCAGGAGCACTGTGACTGGAGTTACTCAGTAAACCTACGCTCCCTCTGGGGGGGGAGGAGGAAGGACAAACCAGTGTTATCCAACAACTTGTGACTTTCTTATAGTATTAATTTTAAACAGGGAATGCAAGAGCAGAGAGGAGAGTGTATCTCCTATTTCTGCCTCTGCTTATTATTAGCTGATCTCCTTTTGAAGAGGATAATTTTTTTTGTGTACTTATTATTTTTGTTTTAATCTCACTCGTTTATAGGCATCGCACCCAAATTGTGCACCTGAGTTTCATCTTGGCTGTGTTTTGAGGAGACATTTGGTGTTGGGGGTCAAACTCAGGGCCTTGTGCCTGCTACTGTATGCTCTACTTCACAACTTTCTGATAAGTTCTTAGCAAGGTGGTCAAATATTGGCAGAGCAGGAGGCTCTTTTCCCAATCATAGGAAGAAGAAATTTCACAGATCTTTGTTGTTATAAACAGGAGAGTCAGTCCTGCAAGTTTATGATTCGTCTATGGCATACAGAGCCTTTGAGCTGCTCTGGAACAATTCCAGTGCTTCTTAAAGATAGGAAGTTCTGGGGGCGGGGGGAGTGAGAACCAAAAGGGAAGTCGGAGTGTCTTCCCGAACAAGGGCAAGAAAGGTTCATGTCTTTTACTGGCACATTTTCATTCACAGAGAAATTCTATTCCCGTCTTTGAGACGACAGCACGTTCTCACAACTCTGACGGCTGGTTTTACGGCATTAAGTATGTGAGTGCAGGATACACTTTTAGCTAGTAAAATATTAATATCGAAGTACACTTGAGCAGCAGAGTATCCAAACTCTCCTCCCTGGGAGTTTATTTTGACTAAGTAAAGACACGTCTTTCCCCCCTGAACTCATTTCCTCCTCAGATACTTGTAAGTGAAGATGTCCCCACCATTTTTTTTTCTTTTTGGGTCACACCTGGCAATGCACAGGGTTTCCTCCTGGCTCATGCACTCAGGAATCACTCCTGGCGGTGCACAGGGGGCCCTATGGGATGCTGGGAATCGAACCCGGGTTGGGCCCCATGTCCCCACCTTTAAGGAAGGGCTTTATCACACCCCAGCCTTTGCCTTGTTGAGCTCTTTCAGGAAGTGGAGGCAGGGGCAGTGAAGAAGGCCCTTCACATTTCCTCCCGTTACCTCCTGCTCGCAGGCCCTGAGACCCTCCTCCTCATTTGAGGGACTCCCCCAATGTGGGCAAGCTGTGTGATTAGGACCATCACGACTCCTTAGGTGCATGGGAAAGGACAGTGACAGGGCACTCGCTGGGCTTCATCACACAGGGGCTCCTGCAGGGTCTCTCCCCAGATGACCCCTTCAAAGGCAGCCACTCAACGCACCGGCCCACGCCTGCCAAGCTGAGGGTAAATGACACAGAATAGATGACTATTTTTTTAAAATTTTTTTTGTCACACTCAGTGATGCTCAGGGGTTCCTCCTGGCTCTGCACTCAGGAATCATTCCTGGCAGTGCTCGGGGGACCCTATGGGATGCTGGGACTCGAACCCGGGTTGGCTGCGTGCAAGGCAAACGCCCTCCCTGCTGTGCTGTCACTCCCAGCCTCAGATGACTATTTTTTTTTCAGAGGGACCACATTCAGCAGTGCTAGGGAACCTGGGTTCACTTCCAGGCCCCGGGTCCGAGAACACGTGATGTCGGGAATCAGGTCCAGGGCCTCTCCTATGCAAAGCACGCACTTCACCGGAGACACACCATGATTCGTCCTCAGGAACTCAGAGGCTAGACTTGAAGTCGGGCCTCGGGCCGTCTTAGGAATCGAGGTAACTGCTCCTCATTGTCTGGGAGCACCTGTTACTCAAGGGTCACTAAACTGAAACGGGCGACACCTTTGAGTCGGCAGGCTACGGCTTTGCCCTACAAACGAGAAGCAGGCTGGAGTGCGTTTCCCCAGCAGGGACCAGAACCGGTGCTGCAATTGATGAACTGGGGCGGCAAGTGAAGGGGGTGAACGGGGAGGCGGGGGGGGGGGGGGGTGGCAGGAATGTAGAAATGCGGCTTCCTGGCCCAGAGCACATTTTCAGTCGGCAAACACCGTGGTGGTTTGCAGCACCACATGTGAAGGTGAGTTGCTAGTACTCGCCTCCCCTCGGGCATGCTCTCTGCCCGCTGCCCTCTTGGTTAAGGATGCAGGAGGGAAGAAAGTGGTGAGTTCATCGAGGCTTTCTTTCTCCCGACTGTCTTTCAGCCTCTATTTGCTTCTGACTGATGTGGATCTAAATCTGGGTCAATCAGATCCTTTGTAAAAATGCCTGGTATGTGAATTAATTTGTGTTTCTGTTTAAAGGAGCAGAGCGGAGGGAGGGTTGTATTTGTAAGGAGAGACGAAAGTAGGACTCATGGGACCAGAGAGATAGGACAGGGGATATGTGTACACACACACACACACACATGCACACGCACACACACACTCAAACCATGTATATGCTTTTTTGTGTATGATACAGGATCACACCCAGGACCTCTCACAGATGAGGCAAGGTTTCTACCACCGAGCTGCACCCCTGTGGTGGTTTCTAGCCTTCAGGATCTAAATATTTCATTACTGTAGTTTTTGACTGCTGAATACTGGCTCTTAATATATCTAATTGTCTGATTTGTTTACTTCTGCGCACCCAGAATCTATCATGTTTGCCAAAGATTACTTATAGATGTCCATGAAATGATTTTTTGTTGTTGTTTTTAATTACAAGCTATTTACTATATAAAATGAAACAAAGAATGAAAAGACTGGGTTAAGGAGCTAGTACAGCATGTGGCTGCCCTAAGTGTGATCTCTGGTACCCATAGTGGTTCCCTGGGCCCCACCAGGAGTGATCCCTAAGCTCAGAGCCAAGAGTAAGCCCCGAGCACAGGCAAGTGTGACCCCAGAATAAAAACAGAATGAAATTCCCCATTAATCCCACTTGATCACTTGATTCCCACAAGTCAGAGAAACATTTGATTTCCTTTCTGTCTTTTTCCCCTCTGTGTATGACGTCTTCGATATGCCAAACACAGTAACAAGTCTCAAAATGGAGACATTACTGGGCCCGCTCGAGCAAATTGATGAACAACGGGAGGACGGTGACAGTGACAGTGTATGGATATATGTCTTCCCAAGTATTTATGATTGGGAGCAGCAGGTCACCCCCAGTGGTGCTCAGGGGACCCTGTTCGGGTTCCAGAGCGCGAACCACATGGACAGCCTCGAAAGCTGCAAGCACCACGCCCCCCGTACTGTCTCTGGTCCCTCAGTGTTTGTGCGTTAAAGAAGTCAGTTGTGCGAGCTGTCCTTTCAAGCAGGTCTGCGAGGACTCGATCATTCGTTCCTCAGAGCTCGCCACCCCTTTGCCCTCTGCCCCTGCTGTTAGTGAGAAGCCGAGACCCCCCCTCCGCTGCCACTTCTGTGACTCAGGGTGCTTTGATTGCACTGTGTGCCTGCAGCCAGTTTGGAGTCGTACTCTCAAAATACCCAGCAAGCTCACATCACAGGCCAACCTCAGCCTTTCCTGGTATTTCTGTTTCCTCACCATTGTATTTTGGTTAGCTTGGCCAGACTCCCCACCATTCTGGTCTTCAGGTCATGGAAACTAAGGCGTGAGCCTGGCGATTCTCTGATGTGGCTGTTAGCTTCGATGATGACTTCTTTCCACTTCCAGGAAAGAGGTCAGGAAATGTCTTCCCAAAAAAAATTTTGGGAGGGGCTGGACTCATAGCACAGCAGGTAGGGCGTTTGCCTTGCAAGCAGCCAACACAGGTTCAATTCCCAGCATCCCATATGGTCCCCTGAGGACTGCCAGGAGTAGGTCCTGAGTCCAGACCCAGGAGTAACCCCTGTCCATTGCCAGGTTTGACCCAAAAAGAAAAAAAAATTTGGGAACTAACCCAAATCTCATCTCCGGGGGAAATAGAGATTCTTTTTTTTTTTTTTTTTTTTTTTTGCTATGGATGTGTTCGGAAGGCGAATGACAACGTCGTGATGGCCCCTGATGTTTCTTTTGCAGACCTCCAAGGAAGATCTTCTGCAGGCTGATTTTGAAGGTGCTTTAAAGTTTTTCAGAGTCCAGCTCCCAAAGAGATACAGGGCCGAGGAAAATGCCAGAAGACTGATGGAGCAGGCGTGCAACATCAAGGTAAGAGCCCAGAACCTCTATCCGCGGTGAAGGCAGACTCGGCTGCAGAGGAAGGTGGCAGAACCCTTAAAATCCTTCCTTGGCTTCTGAGGATTCTGTCTTTGGATGACAAACGTGCCTCTGACAAACGTGCCTCTCCCACACTTGCATGCCCGAAGGGTCTGTGTCTGTCGCCGTACCTGTGGGAGGGACCCTGTGGAAGGCTCGAGGTTCCAGTTGTAACAAAAGGAAGAGAGACATTTGTCTTGGAGGTAGGGCGGGGCTGTGAGCAGGCTGCTGTGTTCGTGGTTTCCATGGCAGCAGACGTGGTACTTCGCTTTTGCCATCTGTTTTCGGAGTAATCGGGACAGAGCTAGAAGGGCCAGTGGACGTCTGTGCTTTCCCCTCACGGTGGGGGGGGAGGGCATGGAAGGCCTCTCGGGTCTCGTACCTGCCCCGCGCCTGTGGGTACATGGCTGTGAAGGAGTTGTTTTGTGTACTGGGGGCAAGTTGCAGACATTCAAGTGTTTAGTAAGTTATAAATAGAGAAGTCAAATGGTATGGGTCAAATGCAAAGTTGAGCGTTTCTTCGGAAGATAAAGCGGCATAGGAAAACGATACAGCAATATGAGATGTACGCGAAGACGCCCCCCTCCCACAGATATTAGGTATCTAAGAAAGCAAAACACATTTCCTAAGTCAATTTGAAGTTGAAACTCTGCTCAGAAAGCTGTGGCATCAAGGGGAGAAACACACATAATTGGGGTGTGGGGGGTGGGGAGGGGAATGGTTTAAGGGATAAATTGGAAATCATGGTCGTGAAAAGGTGCACTGGTGAAGAGATGGTGTTGGAGTGTTGAATGTAATTGATCATGAACAACTTCATAAAAATAAATAATTTAAAAAATGGAGCCAGGGGCTGGTTCAATAGCACAGCAGTTAGGGTATTCGCTTTGCATACAGCCAACCCGAATTTGATTCCCAGCATCCCATATGGTCCCCCAAGCACCGCCAGGAGTGATTCCTGAGTGCAGAGCCAGGAGGAACCCCTGTGCAATGCCGGGCGTGATCCAAAAAGCCAAAAAAAAAAAAAAATGAAGACAGCATTCACTTGGTTAATTGGACTTGGTTCTTACACTTCTGGAATATATTTTCTTCCCTAGCCATGGCAATAATATAAATTTATTGGGGCCAGAGCAACAGTACAGTGGGTAGGGCATTTGCCTTGCACACAGCCGACCCGAATTCAATCCCTGGCACCCCGTATAGTCTCCTAAGCCTACCAGGAGTGAGTCCTGAGTGTAGTAGGTCCAGGAGTCAGCTCTGAACACTGCCAGGTGTGGGCCAAAAACCAAAAATATAATGTGTGTGTTTGTATGTGTATAAATTTGTTTTCTGATCAAAGATCCCGTGTCTTCAGGACCATATATTTTTGCAGGAGAAAGTAGACAGTATACAGTGAGCGTGCACTTAGCCAGTCAGACCATCTCCCTGACCCCTCACATGCAAAAGTAGAAGGCATACAGACGTTACTGTTCCTTCATCAGAGCCTGTGGAGAGTGAGCTGTATCTACCTGTAGCTTGAGAATCCTTCCCAGTGGCCATCGTGCCTCTTACTGAATTTTGTGACTGTCGTGTGAAGGCCAGCTTCAGCCACTAGCTGTTCCCAAACTGTGAAGGAGTTGTTTTGTGTACTGGGGGCATGTTGCAGAAATTAAGATCTAGTATTTAATAAGTTACAAATAGAAAATTTGGTTCTGGAGCAATAGTGGGGAGGGTGTTTGCCTTTCATGTGACCGACCCAGATTCGATCCCTGGCATCCCATAGTGTCCCCCAAGTACCGCCAGGAGTGATTCCTTTGTAGAGCCAGGAGTCAGCCCTGAGCATCGCCAGGTAAGACCCAAAAAGAAAAGAAAAAAAGAAAAGTTAAGCAGTATGGGCAAAGTGCAAAGGAAAACGATGCAACAATATGAAATGCACACGAAGATGCCCCCCCCGCCCCCAGTATTACCTATAAAGTTCCTCAGAAGATGAAGGTAACTGTTATCAAACCAGAGACATGGGCGCTAAGAAATGCAGAGCGTGAAATGTGAAAAGAAATACGCTCAGATGTACGAATAGACCTTCTGGAATGAGGATGTCTTGGGCAGCTGAAGAGGTTTATTAGAACGGGAACACCCAGCTGGGGAGCTTTGTTTTTAAATAATCATAGGCTTGCTTTGTTTTTATTTCTGCCTCATCAAAGGGGAGATGTTCAAACCCGTGATATCTGGATAGCATTCTAATTTCTCACACCTGGTCCTGAGCGGGTGTCAGGTGAAACTGGGCAAGTCCTGTATCCGGGGTTTGTCCTAGGGATAGAGCTTAAGTGTCCAACTGAAGGTTGAAAGATTGTTTTTATTTTATTTTTTTAATTTAATTTTATATTTTTTGCTTTTGGGTCATATCCAGCAGTGTTCAGGGGTTCCTCCCGGCTCTGCACACAGGAATTACTCCTGGCAGTGCTCGGGGGACCCTATGGGATGCTGGGAATCGAACCCGTGTCAGCTGCGTGTAAGCCCTACCCGCTGTACTATAGCTCCAGCCCAAAAGATTGTTTTTAAATGTTGACACACTCTTTTTTGTTTGTTTGGTTTTTGGACCACACCATATATTTCTCAGGGCTTATGCCTGGCTCTACACTTAGTAATCACGAGGTCATCGTTGATTGATTGGTTGGTTGGATGGGAGTGAATCTAGGTCCATAGTGCACATGCTTTGCCCATTGTGCTATTTCTCCTGAAATCCCCCAGACCCACATTTTTTTTGCTTTTTGGTAACACCCACCAATGCTCACGGTTACTCCTGGCACCTCACTTAGGAATCACTCCTGGAGGTGCTCTGGGGACCCTATGGGATGCCGGGGATCCAACCTAGGTGGGCCGTGTGCAAGGCAAACGCCCTCCCTCCTGTGCTATCGCTCCAGCCCCTTGGCATCTCTTTACCTCAACCCCTTGCCCATACTCCCCACTGGTGTCTCGCCTGGCATGAATCTAGTGAAAGGAGAGGTTTCGAAAGCATGAAGAACATCTTCAAGAATGCAAGGACTAACTGGGGAAACGCAAAGGAAGTGTCCGGCCGCCTTGTTGGGGATTCTGAGTTGATAGCCATAATAAAAGTCAGCCCTGTTCCGTGAATCCCAGTTTGAGAATGAGCAGATCATTCTTTGGCCGCAGAGTTGAAGTTTGCCAACAAGAGGCTAACAGAAGCATGGAACAGCCAGGCAGTGGGACATTGAGGCGGGATAGCAAGGATGAAAAATGAGAAATCCTGGTTGGTAGTTTTCACCCTTTCCCATCATGGGAATATTCCCACCGTGGACCATTTCAAGGTACCAATGATTTAATGGTTGGTTTCTGGACCACCCATCACTTCTGAGCTGGCAGACACGGCCAGCATGTCACAGGGATGAGCTCGGAGGAGAGGGGTGGGTGGGAAGGATGATGGAGTCGGCAGTGGAAGAGAAGTGGAAGGCTGCTGGGCCCGGGGTACTGCAAGAAAAAGGAGTCGGGGAGAATTGGAGAGAACTTGGAACTAACTCCATGACCGGGACAGTGGTGCTGGAGGACATTGAACTCTTTGTTGGTGGCTACCCAAGGAGGGAAAAAAAGCACCCATTCTTCAAAAACTAACATTTCAAAAGGTGCTTCATCTGCAAAGAAAATAACTGACCCATGCTCAGATTTTCTCCTGTTTGTCCAGGATGATTCACTGTATCCCTGTCATCCCATTGTTCGTACTCGAGCGGGCACCAGTAATGTTTCTATTCCTCCCAGCCCTGAGATTTTAGCAGCCTCTCCTTACTCGTCTTTCCCAACGATTGGAGGCTCTTTCAGGGTCAGGGAAATGAGACCTGTTAAAGTGACTGGTTTTGGCATTTAGAATACACCAAGGGGAGCTTGCCAGGCTCTGCCCGTGCGGGCAGGATGCTCTCAGTAGCTTGCCAGGCTCTCCCAGAGGCATATATATGTATGTGTGTGTATGTGTATATATGTGTGTGTGTGTGTGTATTTTTTTCCCTCTATGACTTGTTGATCAGTGGCAGCAAAACCCTGGCCATCTATGGCCAGCTCTGCTCTTCGAGTCTCTGTCCCAGCAATAGTGCTGGTAATCATTGCCATTTTACACAGACCATAAAGGTCTGAAATGCATCCTCGGAGGAATAAAGAAAGATGGGCACAGACAGAAGGGACAAGGGAGATCTAAGGGTCAGGGGCTCCTCCTGGCCCCAAACCAAGTCCTGTCCTGGCATCTTTCACAATTGTCCCCTGCCCCACGCTGCAGAGTTAGCCATCAGTGACCAGATGTTGCCGTGGCAACTACTCACCTCAGAAAACTGCCCTCTGCTCCACTCAGCTATCTCTATACTGTGATGGACAATTATCCACTCTCCCAGAGTGGATTAATACAATTCGATCTTGCCTCGTACAGAGCATGATTTTATAGTGGTAAAGTCACTCATCCAGAAATGTAATATTTTCCCCTTGAGGACCTTCATATATGTAACCCTGGATTTGATTTTAACTGTTGGAAGATACCTTTCACAATGGAGCAAAACTATAAAAGAACATTTGTATTAAAAACACTTACTTGGCCTCTGATTTCTTCTGCTGTTTGCTGTTTATCTCGGCCTGTTATGTCAGAATGCCATCTCCCCCAAAGAGGCTTTCTCTGAGTTGGCCACACAGAGGCTTTTGTTGACTCCATGGATATAAAAATGTGAAACCTTTTGGGCACGGTGGACAAAGGTTGGTTTTTTTTGTTTGTTTGTTTTTCTTTTTGGGTCACACCCAGCGATGCACAGGGATTCCTCCTGGCTCTGCACTCAGGAATTACTCCTGTCAGCCTTCGGGGGAACATATGGGATGCTGGGAATTTAACTCGGGTCAGCCGCGTGCAAGGCAAACACCCTCCCCTCTGTGCTATCGCTCCAGCCCCCAAAAGGTTCATTTTTAGTGGAACTTTTTCCTAGCTGGAAATA